CCGTAGACATTGCCAAATGTCCCCTACGGGGCACAATTACCCCTGATTGTGAACCATTGGAGTACAGAATAACAGAAATACTGAAAACTCAGGAAAAAATGGGACTCAGAGGCAGTAGAAAAAGCAGCAAGGGGTTCAGATTTTCTAAATCAACAAAAGCAAAGTCCCTGTTTAAAAAAAAAAGAAAAGAAATTAAGAACCAAAGAAAACATCAGGAAATTATTTGTAACACTTAAACCAAAGAATGAGTACCTTTACCATATATATAAAGGTCATAAACTCATCAGTAGGAAATGGACAAAGATCCATTCAGATCAATAGGCAAAGCACAGGAAACAATTTTCACCCAGAAATATAATGGCAAACATGAACTGTTCAAACTTATATATCAAACTGATAATGTTTCTTGCTCTTACTGTTTCTCTACAGTTGAGGGCAAAAGTTATTAGGTGAAGCAGAGCAAATTAGGGGACAGAGACATGACTTTTTGTTTTGAAAAGGGAGGAAACTGGAATGAACTCGTTCTTTGAAGATATTGGTGTTAACTCATGATACTAAATAGAGAGAGATATGTAGAAAAAGATAAACAAATCGTGTGTGTGTGTATGTGTGTGTGTTATTCACATATGTATCTCCTAGCTCTGCCCCCTGAGAGGGTCTATTAGCAGTGCTACCTAGAACACACCTAGTTCTAGACCTTGGTTTCTAAACACTGTCCATACTTAAAAGTGTTCCTTGGACAAATGGCTGATTGTAGAGAAAGTAGAAGATGAGCCTGGTATATCTTGTTGTTCCATAAAGTAAGGTAGTGCTCCAAGAAGGTTGGAGGATATATCAAAAGGACATAGGAGCAAGCTAAAAGGGGCTCCCACCAGCCAAATCACGGGCAATTTGAGATAAAAATGATAGTAATAGATTATAACCCATTGAATAAAATAGGAGTTCATGTGTCCCTGCTGACCTAAATCAATGCTTAAAGTCTACGTTTGATGGAGAATGAAATGTTTGCATAGTCTCAAAGTAACTCCCCCACCCTCAAATACTGATTAATTACTAAGGGAAAATGAGTGACTTCACAGTGGACAAGCCTGGTAGACACCACCTGAACCAAGCGATCAAAGTGAACAGCATCGGTAATGGGGCTGACTGAAATCATGTACCACCTGATAGGATGTAATGAGAAGAACACAGCATCATTACTGTGATAGTCTTGCCAAAGATACATAACCTGAATCTAATCATGAGGAGACATCAAGCAAACCCAAACTGAGGGACATTATACAAAGTAACTGGCCTCTGATCTTCAAAAGTGTCAAAGTCATGAAAGTTAAGGAAACGTAGGCTTTGAACTGGATTCTTTTGCCACAGAAGTTACTATGGAATGATTGGTAAACTTTAGAGCCTAGGGATTAGGTGGCAGTAATGTGCCAGGGTTAGTCTCCTAATTTTCATGGTTCTATTTTAGAACAGTGTTGTGTACAGGAAGTACAACATTTGGTGGGGATGGGACAACTACCTCTCAGATGGTTCAGAAAAGATAAATTTCCTGTTTTTCCAACTTTTCTCAAAGTTTGATATTCTTTAGAAATAAAAAATTAAAAATAGCAGTGTTGTACCTTCCTGATACAACCCTTTGGATAGCAAATTAATGATATGCATCAAAAGCCTTATTAAATAGGACCTGGGGATCATCATTCTAAGTGAAGTACGCCAGAAAGGGTGAAATACCGTATGATATCACTCATATGTGGAATCTAAAAAAAAAAGACGCAAATGAAATTTTTTAATTGAAGTATAGTCAGTTACAATGTGTCAATTTCTGGTACAGCATGATGTCCCAGTCATACACATATGAACTTATTTACAAAACAGAAATAGACTCACAGACATAGAAAACAAACTTATGGTTCCCAGGGGAGAAAGCGGGTGGGAAGGGATAAACTGGGAGTTTGGGATTTGCAGATACTAACTACTATATATAAAATAGATAAATAACAAGTTTATACTGTATAGCACTGGTAACTATATTCAATATCTTATAGTAACCTACAATGAAAAAGAATATGAAAATGAATATACGTATGTATATGTATGACTGAAATATTATGATGTACACCAGCAATTGACATAACATTGTAAACTGACTATACTTCAATTAAATAAATAAATAGAAAAATAAGAAATTCAATATACCAAAAAAAAAACCCTTAAATATTCATATCCTGACTAATGTCTGGTATTCTATTCTATGGAAACAGAAAAAAATTGGAAAGATATTTGTATTATCGTGTTATGTGGAAAAGTTCTATTGATAAACTGTACGTACAGTGGATTCTTTACAATGTACAAAAATATTTGAAGACTGGAACCCTCCCCCTCAATCATTCTTAGTGTTAGCTCCTCAGCAGGATGGCTCTGAATGGCCACACATTGGCTAAACTGTTCTCCCATTATTTTTTTCAGTATATATTTTTATTTCCATTAAGATAGTTCCATTTCCTGGTATTCTTTCCCCTTTTGCCTTAGCCAGCTCTCTGTGCCCTCACTTCCCTGCCTTCATTTCAGCTCATCGCTGCCCCCTCTGCCTTACTGCATCTCAGTGAGGACAGGATTTCTTCTGTTTCCTGTGTTGAAACATTTTCCAACATGTGCTTTAATTGTGTGACTTCAGTATTATGTTCCTTTTCCCTTGTACTGTACAGATCTGTATTAATCCTCTTCTGTTTCTTATCTGTCTCTGCCAATAGGTGGATACGATTGCCCCACCATGCACAGCGCAAGATGCCCCTTCTCACATGAGCAGGGATAATTGGTTGGGCTTCTGGATCTTAGATTTCAAAAAGCTAGCCAATTAGAAGCTGGAACACTTGTTCCTCGGTGCTGCCCTAAAGGAAAGTCCCCTTAGATTGTTGAATAAAGGATTTTCTCTTTAGTTTATAGCACTGTGGCTAGGTTCTGTGAATCTTCATGAGTATTTTAATGGCAAATTAAAAGAAGACATCTACTGAAGTCCAGAAAGCCTAAAACTAACTTTTATTAAGCATCTAATATAAATAAATACTCCTTTAAAATGCAGTAGCCTTACAAACGGTTTGTTATATTATCATTTAACACTGGAAGAGTGGGGCTTAGTGAGGTTAATAACGTGACTGGGTAACCAGCTAGTAAGTGGTAGAGTCAGGAGTAAGCCCACATCTCTTGGTTCAGAGTTTATGCTGTTTCATGAAACCCCTGTTCCCCCAAAAAGCACAAATGAAATATTATCTGATCACCAGCAAATCATAAGGGCTAAATGTCACATACCTTATCTTAATGACATAGTTGCTAATGAAAGCTAAATTTCTATAATGCTTTTGAATTCTATGAGATATATTTTGATTTTTTTCTGAATTTATCTCTTTTTTTCTATTTATAAGATAATATTAATTAATAAGATAATGTAAACGGTACACCAGAAGTCCTTTCAAGTAGAATTTTTGGGCTCTGTGTTCTCAGAAGGCAGGAGTATGGACATTTGATGCTATGTGCCAGAGGCAGTATATTATCTCTTTGCAGTAAAGCCTGTGATTTTCCATATAATTTTCCTCTTATTCATTCACCCACTTTTACAAAAATATATTTTCGAGTACTTCTGCCACTACACATGACGAACTGTCTCATCCTGGCATGTCTCTGTAGGCTTGTGACTTGTCCATCCATCATTTTCATCTCAGCCTTGCTGCATTGGCAAGATTTCCGTTGTTAAATTGTCCTAATAATAAAAAAAAGCAGCCCACAAGCTCAAAATTAAATAAATTTAATACATCAAGCCAATAACTGTTATATTATAGTCTGGAAATCATATAGTAACTGCTGCTATGTAATAAAATTGTGCATGTGAATTAAAAAAAAAATGAGCCGTAGGTGTTGAATGAGAAATTCTTGACATAGCAATTTTCTCATATTTAAAGCACACACAAAAAGCCTGTGAAATGTAATCTATCTTCCTGGCACATTTGAAAACAGTCCTGAAGTCTGTGTTCTCCTGGAGGAAATGTAATTTCTGTACCTATTCGTTCCTTCCAAATACTAAGCAGGCTCTTTTAGTGCAGACCACTGAAGACAGTGCTTATGAAAAATGGACAGTAGAGTATTTTTTCTTGATGGGAATTAATTAACAGACTGCAAAGGTCTTGGATTCCTCAGTCACTTGCTTGGACCTTGTGATGCTGCCCTTCTTTTGTACACGTGCCTGGGGTGGGTGGCAGAGATGCGTACATGGGGTGATTGAAGATCAGAACAAATGTGACGGAATCTGTTTCCCTTCCCCGCTTCTTCCTGGCTGTGGTGTTTTCTTGAAGGAAATTACACCTTTGTGTATAGATGATTGTGTGGGGAGGGGTATGAGCATGGGAGGGTGGCGACTGGTAGAGCTGCGTCTACGCAAATTCCAACGTTTCCCAACTCGTGTTTGCGTTTATCACATGGGAACATATGTCCATGCTCTTGGTAGAGGTGATTACAAAAGCTGTCGATGCCTCCTGGAAGGTGAAATCACAAACTGCAAAGGCTTCTTGCCAGGGAGAACGTAGACACGGCAGTGCCACCTGTTGTATCAACCAGAGGACAGCTTCAGGTTCTGGTGTACAAACATGGGGGCAAACGCTGGGAGTGGACACCGGTGAGCTTTCCTGTCCTCCTCACAGGGGAGCGCCAATGCCTTATTTACCATCTCATACACTCCTTATAAAGTGGGCTGTCAGATACGGGTTTTACCATGTACAGGAAGATAACTGAAGTCGAAAATATACATGGGTCCTTGTTTACGTTGTGTAATTTTCAACACTTTCTCACACACGCTGAAGCTTCGGGCTCTCCATATTAGTGCTTTTTCCCTCAAGAAAACAGAAACGAAAGAGAAATTTCTCTTCCTTACAGCTGCTAATGATGGATGAAAAAGTCGGAAAGTGCTTGAGACTAGTGCCCCGTCACGTGCTGTCATCCAGCAAGTGGTTCACCCGCAGCTTGTGAGCGCCAGTACCACTTGCTTTGACTGCTGTCCCTTTGGGGACTCATTTGGGTATCAGATGACTTGCTCTGTTCCTGGGCATCCATCCTGCAGGGGAAAAAGGATAGCTCTTTAGAGCACGAAGAGCTGGTGTTGAGTTTATGTAGTGGAGCAAATGCGAACTTAGCAGGAGTTTCTTCTGACAAATGGCATGTGATCATGGAGGTTTCCAACCAGTAATTGCTAGAGACCAGCGCCCTCTGTACGAATTACCACGAGTAACTCAGTGGCCTTCACAGAGTGAATGAGCTCTGTGTTTAGAATCAGATAGCTGGGTCAGAAGACAGCACAAGGCCAAGTGAAGGACATAGCCTGATTGGATTCCAATCTCTGAGGCTCTTGCTGTGTTTCTTAGACCATTTCTCAATATTCTAAATTCTAGCGAGCTTGCACTGGGGCCTTGGGAGTAGGGATTCTCACCCCCAGCAGAGACAGGTAGCCTGGGTGGCTTCTCTAAATTCTCCCCCTTTCTCACATTCCTTTCCTAAATTTCCCCAGACACACAGTGCTCACTGTCTGGCCCTGCTAAACCCCTGGCGGTAAAATTTAAGTTGTCTTTTTGAAGACTGACATCAGCCAGTGGTGTTCATAGTGGCCCTCTAAGTTCAAGAAAGACAAGATCAGGCAGAGTAGTAAAGGAAAATGTAGAAACAGTAACAGATGGGAGGCTGAAGACATTTGAGGGCTGATTCTCAACCTTGGCAACAGTTTCTTGAGGTCTTAGGGCTTTGATTTCTTCATCTATGAAATGGGAAATTCAGGTCAGATAAGATAAGAAGATTTTAAGGTTTCTTGTACCTATGTGTCTGTATTGGAATTTATCTTACTAATATGCTGTGAGATACCTAAATTTACAATCCTATTTAAAATGCAGATTTCTAGTCCAAATGCAACAGTAGACTTTCCTTCCCCTGGATCACACGTGGTGACAAGATGACCTCTCCAGTCTGCCTCTAGCTTCACGATTCTGGGAGAAAGTCACATGTTTTTTCCATAACAAATTCTCTAGAGTTTCTCTAGAAGACTCACAGATAAACTAGGATAAACATAACTTACCTTGGGGAAACACCATCTTCCCTTAACCCGCTTCAGCTGGTATTTTTGATCTTCGCTACAAAAGAACTAAATAGGTGACACAAGTTTGATGTCCATAAAGAACTTATCACAGTTAGTATCTGAGCCTTGTAACATTAGTTTCAGAACAGTCATTTAGGCCTCCAGACCTAAAGCATGGATAAGTTTTTTTGAATCTAAGAAATATTTTATGATGGATATTTAAAGAAGGGGAAATTAACTTTTCCCCACCTCCCGTTCTTTTTCCTATTTTGAGTTTTTGCTATCATAACTATTCATTCTGTGAATCGGAAAAGGAAATTCAGTTAACTGCTCGCCAGAAATGCCCTCGGTTTTCTCCTACAAGAACTCATTTTAAAGCAAATGAAAATAATAGGAAATGAAGAGAACAGAGAGGGAGTTTATTAAATTACACTTACTCTGGATCCACACTGATCTGGCCGCTTGCTTCAGTGGACATTTTTATCCCAGAATGGAAGGTGGGCACAACACTTATCTGTCAGGACCTTGTGCTGGAGCCTTACTTTCTGTTTGGAGAAGCTTCATTCCTAGCGTGAGGTTGGTGAACGGGAGGAGAAAACAAGAGTAGGGGTCAATATATGTATGTATATGCTTGACTGGGACATTATGCTGCATACTAGAAAT